GGGCCGTGGTTTTGCCGGCGATGAGCGAATTGTTTCAGAGGCTTGCCTTCATTTTCAGTGGGGGTTGTGAGAGTCGGGCATGCCCAAAATCTGTCCACTTCCGAAGTCCTGAAAGACGCGTGTGCGTGGCCCAAGCGAGATTCCGCTCAGTGGCATCTCCTTTTCCAGCAAAAGAGGTGCCACGTTTCTCTCGCTGGGCAAATTGGTTGGAAGCCCGTCATCCGTCTTACAATTGCAGTCCGGTGGAACATGGGTCGTATGCTCACCTCCAACCAGTTTCTGAACTTTGTCCATTTCGGAGGGAAAGATCGATTTGATGGGAAACAACGTAGTTTTGACTTGTCCGGGCCGATTCCATTCAGGAAGTAAGTACGATGCTGGAGAACTTGTGTAGGCCCCGTTCTGAGGGTGACCCCTTTTTGCTACATGCATCGAAGCTGTGCCGTAGCAGTTGCGCCTTATTTGATTGTTATACCTTGAGTTGCCACCGCCGACAGCGGCTGGGGGTGATGCTTTCAGTGGCCCCAGAGTTGCCTTTTGGGGTCTATGGCGAGCTCACCAATCCCTGTAGTGCTGTTTCCATGTTGCTATGTCAGTGACTGGCGAAGTGCCAGTTGATCTCGACAGACAACTTCCTACAAGCTGTAAATGGCAACCTCGGTATTGACAGAACTTATGTAAGAGAATCTGAGCAACGGACTCAGCCAAAAGGAACTAATCTCGCGAGTGCTGATCGGTTTGATTCATTCGCGTGTGTTGTGTTTTTGACGGCATCCTTTTCGGGGTTGGGCCTTCAACAGCTTGATTCATAATGGTTTATGGCGTCAAATCCCGGCGAATCCAACACCAAAAGGGTTGATGGGTTGAACCAGGCGGCGCGGGGCTATCCAGAAGTTGGCGGGCAAGATCGGCTCGCACGAACAACCAGCGTAGCAGAAGAGCTTGGAAGACTGGCTGCCAGCCGATAAAATCTGTGGCAGCTGGGGGACCCCTTTCAGCCCTCCACCCAAAACCGCGTGTTCGCCGGGCGAATCCGCGGCTTTCGGAGAGCCCGGCCCATGGGAGGGACCCCAGGCGCCTTTCCGCCCGTCCCAACCGACCGCCCCCGCGGGGGTTTTCTCTTTCGCCAGGCGCCGGCCTGGGCGCCGGCGCAGATCGGAGCCGGCCTCGAGGCGGGATCTGTCCGCCTCGGGAGCAGGGCCATGGACTCGGAGCCTCGAAACTGAGATGACTTGGTTTGTCCCAACCAGTGGTTGAAAGCTTGGCTGCTGGTAAGATGGTGACATGGTCAGTGAGGGACGAGGCCTCTTGGCACCAAGCACCGAGTTGACCAAGTTGCGTGAAATCGCAGTAATTACCTGCTGCCACACGTTTTCTGCTCGGTGTTCTGCTCGCGCAGGCGTTTTTGAGGTGCCCGAAGCAACTGTCAGAGGACAGCGCGGAGGTCAGGCAACACCCAGCACCATCTCCAGGCAGATGAGGCAGCGCCCCAAGCGCCACAGAAAATGCTCCAGACACAAAGATTTGATGAGTTGGTTATTTAAATAATTAGTGTTTATCAGTTTTTCGTTTGCAACAAGAGCCCCCGTTTCCTTCTTCGGGAGGGTGTGCCGGGTGACATGGCTGCCATGGCCGGCCTTCCGTGGCCGGACGTTTGCATTTCAGCGCTGCTGCAAGCTCTGGGCTGGCGGGGCTCGGGCCCATTGCGAATGCTGTGCCGCTGCAGCCTTGAGCAAGCGCAGGCGCACGCTGAGGCGGGCAGGTTGCGCTTTCTGGGGTCTCCTCTGATTCTTATTCTGTTTGTTTACATTTTAAGGTCGCCTCTGCAGTGTTTGGCGGTGAACACCAAGTTGTGGTCATGTTGCACCGGCTTTTCTTTCGAACACCTGTTGCGAGCGTACCTGTCAGGAGACCGTGGCGAGCTGGGACGCGGAGGCGCGCGGCGTCTTCCGCGCCATGGCCGGCGCGGCCCAAACCGCCGCCGGCTCGGAGCCCGAGGAGCAGCTGCGCTCGGCGCGGGCGATGCGGCGCAGCGCCCGGCGCGTCCTGGGGATCCTCCAGGTGCGATCCATTCAGACAATTCCCCCAGCAAAGCCATGGGAACCACCTGGATCGCCAGTTGCTGCTTTTTTCCATCTTCACCCCAAAAACCAGCAACAGTGACTGAAAAAAGCCCCAAAGGCATTTCCCCCCCCCCCAAGCATGGTAACAGCTTCCCTCGAAGCGGTAGGTGATGGCCGCCATGGTAAGTCTCCGAAGTAGTTCTTAACCGGGGGTTGGATCCTCCAGGCGCCGGAAGCCGGGAACTTCGATGTGCAGGACATGCCTGGGCTGGATGCCGGGCAGCTTTTCGAGGTCATGGCGAGGGAGCTGCAACATGCCGTGCCCGCTTGCCCCGCTGAGCACATCTTCGCGGCTCGCAGGGCGCTGCAAGCCGCCCGCAGGGTGGAGGAGTTTCACTATGCCTTGGAGAATGTGCCCTCCACACTGGTGTCTGCAGCTGGGAGGTTGCGCCCTTTTTACATTACGGGTGAAGGAAGTGAAGCGCCTGAGTCTGCCCAGTCCAATGATTTTGTGGCACCCACGCTGGAGTCTGGGACGACGCTGGATGCGGCCGCCACGTCCTCATGGCTGGCTGGCCTTCCACATCTGCCTCAAGAGCCAGATAAGCATGTGCCCCAAAGGGCTTTTTGGTGGCTGCTAGAGAGGCAGTGTCAACAGCTCGAGCAGCAGGGCGATCTCCCCGGAGCTGCAGCGCTCTTGGAGGCAGCCCGTACAGCACTGCAGCCAGGTCACCCGGATTTTGATGATCGAGACGTCGCCGATATCTTGCACGAGCTCGGCATGTTGCTGCACGCGTTGCCAAATCAGAACATGGTTCTGGCACAACGCTGGAGAAATTGTTTTATGGCTGGAATGGTTGGACTGGCCTTGGGGTGTTTTGGCACTTTTGCAACAATTCGGCTTCTCCGACATTGAGAGACACGGGGGCTGCTGCCTCACGAATGTGCTGCAAATTTGTGTAGAGTGGCAATGTGCGGAACACCAGCGGGCAGTTTGCGGAGTTCAGTTTCACGTGTCGCGATGGAGCGATGGGCTTGCTGAAATTCGGTCTCCTTGGCATGAAAGGAAGCCACGACAAGCCAGCATGGATTTCGGTGTTCCTTTTGGAAATCCTTGAAAAGGTCATCAGCAAACGGGTACCTGGATCCGCAAAGTTCCGTTAAACATGGGTTCTCGACCTCAAATCATGGGGAGAACTGCCTTCTTTACTGTAAGGGTATAGTCTGAGGGTCCAGGTACCCTCAAAGGACAAGAGTCCAGAAACATGGGTTATTACCCTCAAACAAATGGACACCTTTCTACTTGCAGGGGGGGAGTGTTTGCCCAAATCCGCTGGGCCCTCTCGGAGGCCGGGCTGAGACTTTTTTGGGTGCGGGGCGGGGATGAACATCCCGCAGCTTTTTGCCTCTTGAGGTTTTTGGGGTTGAAGCCTGCATAGAGGGGCCCAAACTTGAAAAGTATTCTTGTCACAACAAAGAGGAGGTCGCTTCCTGTTTGGAAGAGATTGGGGGGAGAGTGGCGGATTGTGATTTTGTCCTGGCTTGCCCTTGCAAGCTGGCCAAGATGGGTTTATTGCACGCTTAAATTCTGTGGGCTGGCTTTTCTGGCTATTGCTCTGCCAAAAGGCAACTAACAGGGGATGGCTCATTTTTATTTTTTCCAGCCCCCCCAATCAAGACCCAGTTTGTAAATCAACCCAAACCAGAGGTTTCCAGGTCGGGTTTTCTACAGGTGTTGTGTGTGTGGCCCACAAGGTTGAGCAACCAAAATGCCACGTGGACTCCCCCTGAGCCACAAATGACACATGCATTTTGGTGTTGGACAACTACACATTCGCAGCAAGCATATGAACATTTGCTTGGCCAAAGGCTGTACGGCAACTAACACTCCAACGGCCAAATGCAGCCGAATCATTCCAACATATGGCCAACCAAACGAACAACGAAAGTAGGCAGGCTACATCATCTATGGCAAGCAAGGCCCTAGGGTTCAGTCAGCGCCGCCATTAAAACAAAGGTTCATAAAACCACCATAGTTTACCTAGATATTGTCGTCATATGAATTGGGCCCTTGGTTGCCATTCTTTAAATGGGGGCAAGGCAAGTTGAATCCTACAAATCATGTCAAAGGCCAAGTGGCTTCGCGCAGCCGCTCGCGAGGCATCTGACTCAGAGCAATGCTGACGAAATCCGCACAGCGCGCCGGGTGGAATGGAGGAAACGTGGCTTGAATGCTGCCTGGATCGCCAAGTTGCTGCTTTTTTGTAGACACTTTCATCTAAACCAGTCACAGTTGCTGCAACTGGCGATCCAGATGGTTGATAAACACAACTTGGCAACATCGCGAAGTGGAGTTTGTCCGATGTTGTCCATCGGTAAGGTTAGGCATTGCGACCTCGTGACTAGTAAAAACAAGGGTCCACCACATAGCCTTGCCTTGCTGGGCGGGGGCATGTAGTGTTGATGCAGGTGCTGCATCACAAGGTTTAGTGGAGCGAGCAGTTGGGATGGGCCCATACCATCTTTCTCCTCGTGCGGGTGGTCGTTCACTCAAGGAATATCAAGCCTCCCCATGGTTCCTTTTGGGCTGGTTCCCCAGTGGAGTATTCCACAAGTCTTGGGCATCTGCACCTGATGGCGCGGTTCCAATCCGCATCGGGAGCACTGAATCGTGTCGCCGTCTCTCAGCTGACTTTAGCCAGGGCCTTAAGAATCTTATTTGCGGATTCGACAAGAGAAGAACCACAAGTGGCAAGACTCTTTTTCAAGTTTGTAGTTTGTGGTTTTCCTTCACACGCCAAACACGGCACGTGTTCAACATTTGGTTTGTTTTTCTCTCTTCACGCGGAACCAATGGCCCGTTGATTCCCTCAAACAAAGAAACACACACAGACACTCCGCCGCGCCTTCTTCGCGGCTTTTGGTTTTTCTCCTGCCATGCCGGTGCCATCAGGCGATTGCTGGCGGGGTTTATGGGTTACTGAAATTTAAATATCAGATGGGTTTACGGGTTTATGTGTTTCTTCTTCATTTTTCTTGTTTAACAAATCATCTGAGACCTGAATGATCATGGGATCGCTCCATTACCCTTCAACAGTTTCGATCGTTTTTTAGACCTTCAAATCTGAGAGACCTGATGCAGGAATCACGCACATTTCCTGTTTAGACCCTTCAAAAGTTGCAACTTTAGGGGAAAGCCGGTGCCTGTAAGGGGGCAGGGAAGGGGAGTTCTCCAAATGGGCGGCTCGAGTTTCTGTTTTTGGAGTCGGTCCCCCCTTTCTGTTTTGCTTTTTGTGGTAAGGGGAAACCACAAGTTTCAGGTTTCCCGTCAGGTTGGTGGTTTCGATTGGTAGTTTGAGATTTGAACCCCTGGTTCCTGTAGAGGGTAGATGAGAACACCACCCCCCCCCCCGTAACTACGAAACCGCCAATCCAAACCACCAATCCAAACCACTAATGGAAACCACACGCTGAAAGTCTACAACAGGCCCTTTACACGGGATGACCATCGGGGAAACCAAACAACCTGTTTTATATTTCCCACATGGGAAAAGTTACCCACTTCGGGGGCCACGAATATAGAACGACTCTCTCACGGCAATTCTACCACGCTCTCGCTAAGCATGCACATTCTTTTCGGACATCCTTAGATGTCAGCGCCATGTTGGTCCCTGTGAATTTGAACATAAGCGGAGACCCCTCCTTTTCAAACTGCACTGAATGATGCGTTATTGGTGCTGAGTTCCTTCCATGGGAAGAGTAGGCGCTTGCTAGAGCTTCCTTCTGTTCTTCTGGACAGCCCAAATGCTCTTCAACGGTACTCTGAGAGGCCTAGGGAGTGGAAGCTCCTTTTGTTGCACTTGCCGCGGAGTATCCATCGCCTTGCTCCCTTTTGGTGTTCCTATGGTTTTCCGTTGTCCCAGCTTTCTGTTAGCATTTGGTTTGCCTTCAGTTTTCCAGCTTTCCTTTAGTTTCCCCATGTAGGGGGTGTCACGGGTTTTGGTTGACAGGACCCCGAAATCAGAGCCCATTCGGAAAGCAACGCCAACAAAGCTGGATTCCGGTTTCGGATTCCGGGTTCGGGGGGAAAAAAAAACACCCACCTGGGCCTATCTTCAGAAAACTGCCCCAAACACCTCAAACACATGACGTTTTCCTTCCGGGCAAAAGCTTACTTCGTGGTTGTTATGTCAATCTTGGTTGGCCAGTTGGCCATTCTGCATGTTGCTCGCTTGCCTGCCTGACTGATTGCCTGCTTGCTCGCTCGCTCGGGCGGTCGGTCGGTCGGTCAGTCGGTTGCTTGCTTTGCTTTGTTGTGATTTTCTTTCGGGTTTGGGTGGACTTGCTTGAAACAAATGATGTTGATGTATGCCCAGAAGTTGCCAGAAGGGGACGCAAAGGAACAGGTCCATTCGCCGCAATTGGGAATTGGGCAGTGGCTGGTAGGGTCGCCCCAAGCCGTCGCTCGTTTCTTCCCTCCAGAAAGGCGGGAGAGGCGCCTGAGGGCCGCGAGGCACGGCGAAGGGCCGTGGTTTTGCCGGCGATGAGCGAATTGTTTCAGAGGCTTGCCTTCATTTTCAGTGGGGGTTGTGAGAGTCGGGCATGCCCAAAATCTGTCCACTTCCGAAGTCCTGAAAGACGCGTGTGCGTGGCCCAAGCGAGATTCCGCTCAGTGGCATCTCCTTTTCCAGCAAAAGAGGTGCCACGTTTCTCTCGCTGGGCAAATTGGTTGGAAGCCCGTCATCCGTCTTACAATTGCAGTCCGGTGGAACATGGGTCGTATGCTCACCTCCAACCAGTTTCTGAACTTTGTCCATTTCGGAGGGAAAGATCGATTTGATGGGAAACAACGTAGTTTTGACTTGTCCGGGCCGATTCCATTCAGGAAGTAAGTACGATGCTGGAGAACTTGTGTAGGCCCCGTTCTGAGGGTGACCCCTTTTTGCTACATGCATCGAAGCTGTGCCGTAGCAGTTGCGCCTTATTTGATTGTTATACCTTGAGTTGCCACCGCCGACAGCGGCTGGGGGTGATGCTTTCAGTGGCCCCAGAGTTGCCTTTTGGGGTCTATGGCGAGCTCACCAATCCCTGTAGTGCTGTTTCCATGTTGCTATGTCAGTGACTGGCGAAGTGCCAGTTGATCTCGACAGACAACTTCCTACAAGCTGTAAATGGCAACCTCGGTATTGACAGAACTTATGTAAGAGAATCTGAGCAACGGACTCAGCCAAAAGGAACTAATCTCGCGAGTGCTGATCGGTTTGATTCATTCGCGTGTGTTGTGTTTTTGACGGCATCCTTTTCGGGGTTGGGCCTTCAACAGCTTGATTCATAATGGTTTATGGCGTCAAATCCCGGCGAATCCAACACCAGGCGGGTTGATGGGTTGAACCAGGCGGCGCGGGGCTATCCAGAAGTTGGCGGGCAAGATCGGTTCGCACGAACAACCAGCGTAGCAGAAGAGCTTGGAAGACTGGCTGCCAGCCGATAAAATCTGTGGCAGCTGGGGGACCCCTTTCAGCCCTCCACCCAAAACCGCGTGTTCGCCGGGCGAATCCGCGGCTTTCGGAGAGCCCGGCCCATGGGAGGGACCCCAGGCGCCTTTCCGCCCGTCCCAACCGACCGCCCCCGCGGGGGTTTTCTCTTTCGCCAGGCGCCGGCCTGGGCGCCGGCGCAGATCGGAGCCGGCCTCGAGGCGGGATCTGTCCGCCTCGGGAGCAGGGCCATGGACTCGGAGCCTCGAAACTGAGATGACTTGGTTTGTCCCAACCAGTGGTTGAAAGCTTGGCTGCTGGTAAGATGGTGACATGGTCAGTGAGGGACGAGGCCTCTTGGCACCAAGCACCGAGTTGACCAAGTTGCGTGAAATCGCAGTAATTACCTGCTGCCACACGTTTTCTGCTCGGTGTTCTGCTCGCGCAGGCGTTTTTGAGGTGCCCGAAGCAACTGTCAGAGGACAGCGCGGAGGTCAGGCAACACCCAGCACCATCTCCAGGCAGATGAGGCAGCGCCCCAAGCGCCACAGAAAATGCTCCAGACACAAAGATTTGATGAGTTGGTTATTTAAATAATTAGTGTTTATCAGTTTTTCGTTTGCAACAAGAGCCCCCGTTTCCTTCTTCGGGAGGGTGTGCCGGGTGACATGGCTGCCATGGCCGGCCTTCCGTGGCCGGACGTTTGCATTTCAGCGCTGCTGCAAGCTCTGGGCTGGCGGGGCTCGGGCCCATTGCGAATGCTGTGCCGCTGCAGCCTTGAGCAAGCGCAGGCGCACGCTGAGGCGGGCAGGTTGCGCTTTCTGGGGTCTCCTCTGATTCTTATTCTGTTTGTTTACATTTTAAGGTCGCCTCTGCAGTGATTGGCGGTGAACACCAAGTTGTGGTCATGTTGCACCGGCTTTTCTTTCGAACACCTGTTGCGAGCGTACCTGTCAGGAGACCGTGGCGAGCTGGGACGCGGAGGCGCGCGGCGTCTTCCGCGCCATGGCCGGCGCGGCCCAAACCGCCGCCGGCTCGGAGCCCGAGGAGCAGCTGCGCTCGGCGCGGGCGATGCGGCGCAGCGCCCGGCGCGTCCTGGGGATCCTCCAGGTGCGATCCATTCAGACAATTCCCCCAGCAAAGCCATGGGAACCACCTGGATCGCCAGTTGCTGCTTTTTTCCATCTTCACCCCAAAAACCAGCAACAGTGACTGAAAAAAGCCCCAAAGGCATTTCCCCCCCCCCAAGCATGGTAACAGCTTCCCTCGAAGCGGTAGGTGATGGCCGCCATGGTAAGTCTCCGAAGTAGTTCTTAACCGGGCTCCAGGCGCCGGAAGCCGGGAACTTCGATGTGCAGGACATGCCTGGGCTGGATGCCGGGCAGCTTTTCGAGGTCATGGCGAGGGAGCTGCAACATGCCGTGCCCGCTTGCCCCGCTGAGCACATCTTCGCGGCTCGCAGGGCGCTGCAAGCCGCCCGCAGGGTGGAGGAGTTTCACTATGCCTTGGAGAATGTGCCCTCCACAGTGGTGTCTGCAGCTGGGAGGTTGCGCCCAGCCACCCGCCCTGCCATTTACATTACGAGTGAAGGAAGCGATGCGCCCGAGTCCGCCCAGTCTGATGATTTTGTGGCGCCTACGATGGATTCTGGGACGACGCTGGATGTGCCCACTTCTTCCTTTGGACCCTTTAGGCTGGAGGGAACGACGCAGACAGATGCGGCCATGCGGAGCTCGAGCGGTGTGCGTGAGATCCTTCCCCAAGTAGAGGAGGAGGAGCCGGAGCTGGGCGGAGAGGATGCGGCTCTCGTTGCGGCAGCTCAGCACATTGCGCTGCAGCGGCAACTCCTGCGTGCCAACTTCAGAACATGTCCGGCAGGGCATGACCTTCAGGAGCGGGAGGATAGGAGAACCTGCGACCTTTGCGGGGCAGAGATGAACGGGGTGAGCTTGTGCTGTGTCCAGTGCGAGTGGGACATATGCCAAGAGTGCACTGGCCTGGCTGGCCTTCCCCGTGCTCGCGAGGCAGATGAGGACGTGCCCCAAAGGGCTGGCTGGTGGATGCTACAGAGGCAAAGTGCAATGCTGCAGGAGAAGGGCGATCTCCCCGGAGCTGCAGCGCTCTTGGAGGCAGCCCTCAAACGACTGCGGCCAGGTGGCCAGGATTTTGATGATCCAGAGGTGGCCTACAGCTTCTTGCACATGCTCGGCCAGTTGCTGAAGCAGAAAGGAGACCTGGAAAAAGCCGAGGAGCACCTGAAGGAGGCACTGAGGATGAATATGTCCATCTATGGTGGCGCCGACCACGCGAACGTTGCAGCCACTCTGCATGAGCTGGGCGTGTTGCTGAAGCAGAAAGGCGACCTGGAGCAAGCCGAGGAGTGCTTCAAGGAGGAGTTGAGGATGGAACTGTCCATCTATGGTGGCGCCGACCACGCGAACGTTGCAGCCACTCTGCATGAGCTGGGCGTGTTGCTGGAGCAGAAAGGCGACTTGAAGCAAGCCGAGGAGCACATGAAGGAGGCTTTGAGGATGGAACAGTCCGTCTATGGTGGCGCCGACCACGCGAACGTTGCAGCCACTCTGCATGAGCTGGGCAGTCTGCTGAAGCAGAAAGGCGACCTGGAGCAAGCCGAGGAGTGCTTCAAGGAGGAGTTGAGGATGGAACAGTCCATCTATGGTGGCGCCGACCACGCGAACGTTGCAGCCACTCTGCATGAGCTGGGCGTGTTGCTGGAGCAGAAAGGCGACTTGAAGCAAGCCGAGGAGCACATGAAGGAGGCGCTGAGGATGCAGAAATCCGTCTATGGTGGTGCCGACCACGTGAACGTTGCAGCCAATTTGCGTGCGCTGGGCAGGCTGCTGAAGCAGAAAGGCGACCTGGAGCAAGCCGAGGAGTGCTTCAAGGAGGAGTTGAAGATGGTACAGTCCATCTATGGTGGCGCCGACCACGCGAACGTTGCAGCCACTCTGCATGAGCTGGGCGTGTTGCTGAAGCAGAAAGGACGCCTGTGTCAAGCCGAGGAGCACCTGAAGAAGGCACTCAGGATGGGGAAGTCCGTCTATGGTGGCGCCGACCACGCGAACGTTGCAGCCACTCTGCGTGAGCTGGGCATGTTGCAGAAGCAGAAAGGAGACCTGAAGCAAGCCGAGGAGCACCTGAAGGAGGCGCTGAGGATGAATATGTCCGTCTATGGTGGCGCCGACCACGCAAACGTTGCAGCCACTTTGCTTGAGCTGGGCATGCTGCTGGAGCAGAAAGGCGACTTGAAGCAAGCCGAGGAGCACTTGAAGAAGGCGCTGAGGATGCAGAAATCCGTCTATGGTGGTGCCGACCACGTGAACGTTGCAGCCAATTTGCGTGCGCTGGGCAGGCTGCTGAAGCAGAAAGGCGACCTGGAGCAAGCCGAGGAGTGCTTCAAGGAGGAGTTGAAGATGGAACAGTCCATCTATGGTGGCGCCGACCACGCGAACGTTGCAGCCACTCTGCATGAGCTGGGCGTGTTGCTGGAGCAGAAAGGCGACTTGAAGCAAGCCGAGGAGCACATGAAGGAGGCTTTGAGGATGGAACAGTCCGTCTATGGTGGCGCCGACCACGCGAACGTTGCAGCCACTCTGCATGAGCTGGGCAGTCTGCTGAAGCAGAAAGGAGACCTGAAGCAAGCCGAGGAGCACTTGAAGAAGGCGCTGAGGATGCAGAAATCCGTCTATGGTGGTGCCGACCACGTGAACGTTGCAGCCAATTTGCGTGCGCTGGGGCTGCTGAAGCAGAAAGGCGACCTGGAGCAAGCCGAGGAGCACATGAAGGAGGCTTTGAGGATGGAACAGTCCGTCTATGGTGGCGCCGACCACGCGAACGTTGCAGCCACTCTGCATGAGCTGGGCATGTTGCAGAAGCAGAAAGGAGACCTGAAGCAAGCCGAGGAGCACTTGAAGAAGGCGCTGAGGATGCAGAAATCCGTCTATGGTGGTGCCGACCACGTGAACGTTGCAGCCAATTTGCGTGCGCTGGGCAGGCTGCTGAAGCAGAAAGGCGACCTGGAGCAAGCCGAGGAGTGCTTCAAGGAGGAGTTGAGGATGGAACAGTCCATCTATGGTGGCGCCGACCACGCGAACGTTGCAGCCACTCTGCATGAGCTGGGCGTGTTGCTGAAGCAGAAGAAAGGCGACTTGAAGGCAAGCCGAGGAGAACATGGAAGTGAGGGCGCTGAGGATGCAGAAATCCGTCTATGGTGGTGCCGACCACGTGAACGTTGCAGCCAATTTGCGTGCGCTGGGCAGGCTGCTGAAGCAGAAAGGCGACCTGGAGCAAGCCGAGGAGTGCTTCAAGGAGGAGTTGAAGATGGAACAGTCCATCTATGGTGGCGCCGACCACGCGAACGTTGCAGCCACTCTGCATGAGCTGGGCGTGTTGCTGGAGCAGAAAGGCGACTTGAAGCAAGCCGAGGAGCACATGAAGGAGGCGCTGAGGATGCAGAAATCCGTCTATGGTGGTGCCGACCACGTGAACGTTGCAGCCAATTTGCGTGCGCTGGGCAGGCTGCTGAAGCAGAAAGGCGACCTGGAGCAAGCCGAGGAGTGCTTCAAGGAGGAGTTGAAGATGGTACAGTCCATCTATGGTGGCGCCGTTGCAGCCACTCTGCATGAGCTGGGCGGGTTGCTGGAGCTGACGGAGGCACTGAGGATTTTCACTGAGGACATTTGATGTGTGAATCAATGACCTACATTCGATCGCCAGAGCTGCGCCTTGCGCCAGTCGGCTTGAGTTGCCCTGTCGTGTTTAGGTTGCCCGGTTGAAGAAGCGTTCTTCGTGTTTGTGGGCGGGTGAAGTGCCCTCACCAAGGATTTTTTGCCTAGCCCGGTTCATCAAGCCGACCCTCGTTAAACGGAGAACTTGGGACTCGGAGAGGTTGCATTCGTGCATGCGCGTCAGCAAAGTGAACAGACTGTCGTTGCTTTCAAGATGTAGACACAGTGCTTGAATGTGACTACCTTTCGTTCGTTCTACTCTAAGTCTGGGCAGACCAACATCCCGGACCACCCCCCTAGAACAGACTATGCGCGATGTATCATCGCATATATTGAACTTGAACAAGAATACATGTGGGCGAGCATTGCCATTTCTCCACGATTGAAAGGTGCCACAATGTCAGTTGCTGCCACAGAGCAGTTGGCCGCCACCAACATAAGAGGCAGGGGTAGATCGCAGGGATCTTCCGGCAACTCAACCATAATTGTCAGGAGGCCGGGCAGGCATGGGCCGGCCACCACCATGTAGCCACCATTGCCGGTGCGGCATTCGGTATTGGGTCACATCACAGCTTTGATATTTTGGGAGCTCCAAACGTTGCGATTTTATGGACACCTACCAGTACATCGCAACTTGTGGGAGCCCTGTTGAAATAGCATTCGGTTGGCAAGGGGGACTTTGAGAGGATCTAAGCCCATTGGGGTGCCTTGATGTAGAAGATCCACCGTGCGTATCCAATACTTTGATCCAGGCTTCCAAGCGCATCCCAAGTGTCCCAGGTTGTTCGGACCCGTTGCCACCTGCCGTACTGGCTCATTCCGAGCTCGTAGCAGCTCAGGGCGAGCTTTCGCTCGAGTCTTGCAAGGTAACTGGCCGGGTGCAGGCAGCCATCACTTCTTGGCCGCCTCAGTTTGCTCAAACGGATTCAGGGTAGCCCTCCTAGCAACCCGGGGTCAACATGAACTCGGGTCAACTGAGGCGGCCCAAGTTGGTCTCGCCGCGTGTTTGCCACACGCTGCCGTGTTTGCTGCCCAAGCTGGCAGGACAATCCCCGTAGGGGCAGTGTGCTACGCCGGTTCCGGAACCGGCGCATAAGTTTAGACCCGGATCTTGAACTTGGGGAGCGGCAAGCAGCAGCTTTAGCCCAAGCAAATCCTTGCAGAGTCAAAGGCGCGGCGCATGGGTCGCCTTTGCTTCCCCCAAGCCCCGAGACCTGGGCTGGGGCCGTCAGGCTCCAATCGACTGTACAATAGCATGCGACGCGAAGCGACGCGAAGCGACGCGAAGTATCTGGACCACACTGGCCGGGGGTTCAGTACACTTAGAGACATTTGCAGTTCTGGGACCGAGGAGCTCGAAATCCGGTGGCTTTGTGCACAGACACACACACACACATGCAGACACGCGTTGGATGAGAGGTGGTTGCAGCTTCTTTCTGTGGCATGTCTGACTGAAGTTTGATTTCGAGTTATCCAGGCTCGGTTCAGCGCAGCTGACGCCGCACATAAGAAAGGCGTGCCGGTGCATGGTGATTTTAAGCAATCAAGCCTTGGCGAGCTACAGGTGGTTTGCAGAGGAAGATCCAGGAGAGATACTTGGATGGATCTCCTTAATATTGCAAGCACCAACCACTTTCAGCCACAAACTCCTGGTCATTTGCGGTAGATCACCGGGTAACCAACTTCTTCCCTGCAGTCATTGGACAAAATCGACTTCGCGCCAGGTGGTTTTATCCCAGCATGTGCAGGGTTTGGGTACTTGAGTTGTAGGAAGTCAGCGGCCCGAGCTGCCCAGCTGCCCAGTCAGGCCCCAGGCGCCCTGTCTTTTGTCCAAATGCAAGAGGAGTTTGCCTTAACCCAGCGGATTCATGTGGGTCACGTGTAGGAGTTCAAAGGGGTTTGCCACGGGTCCCCATTTCCAATTCGAAAGAGAGTTGGACTGCAAAGGTTTGAGGTTCCGCCCACTGAACATAGCCAAGGCCCATGTTGGTTGGAAACCAGAGTTGGACTCCCTGTAAAGGAGCTTCCAGGGAACACCAAAGGACAAGTCAGAGGGATTTCGCCCGAAAAAGAGACCTGGAGCAAGCCGAGGAGCACCTGAAGGAGGCACGATGGTTGATGAAAAAATGAAGCAGCTGTTGACGTATATCACCTAGATTCGAGCGAAGAGGCTGCTGCATCTCAACCGAGGTGGGCCTCCCTTTGGTGCCAGGTGCTTTCATAATTCAAAGAAAAAACGTGTGCATAGAATGCAGCGAGCGGCACGGAATGAGTTCGCCCTACGGCGCTGAGTCAGCGCTGAGGCGAGGCTTTTCTTGGAGACGCAGTGTCCAAGTAGAGCTGTTGCCCAGGGGTCTACTCTTGTACATTGTACAGTGTGACATGACCCTCGTTGCACGGCCCAGCTTGGACCTCACCTCAGTGCCCGAACCACTTCCGGAGGTTTCCTGCGCTCAAGGATATGTGCGAGTCGCGCAAAAACGCCAACTTCTTTTTTGGGATGCTTTGAAGGAACGCCACAGGTCAAACTACATTATGTTTTTGTTTTTCAAATTTTGACGCACCTGATCTGTTTGACATGATCCAGCTTCCCCGCGCAAAGTGCTTTGCTTTTTGCAGTGGGTCCTTGAGACCAACTCAGTTCTTTGTTTCAAGACACAATGTGTTTTCTCCCCCAACTTTTGAAAGCTTCCATGGCCCTCGATCTTCACGGGGAAAACAATCAAAGCAAACAAAGGACCGCTTCTTTGCAGGTTGCCTGGCCCTGGCCGCGTCGCCCGATGGCTCTGCTTTCACGAGCGGAGGTGCAAACGTGGACATGAGCCGATGCTGTGGGCGAGAAGTGGATGGGAAGTCGGGGTCTAGCGTCAGTGTTGTCCCATGATTCATGATTGAAATCAGCCTGGCTGTGGTTGTCAGAACCGTTGTGGTGGATCCCATTTTGGTAGGTGAATTCACCGCCCATGTTAGAACCGATTTGGATTTTCGTGGTTGGAATGAATCGGATGTTCGCTCAGCGTACGGGCTTGGCTTTTGACCCATGGCCACCTGGCCGATGTTGTGCAGCTCCCCCAAAGCTGATGCCTGCGACACCCGAGGAAAATCAGCCATGGACTCACTATTCCTAGGCGAACATGTTTTCTGATGAATGAAGCTCATACCAGGCGAAGTCCAAGGGCCCGTGTTTTTCTTCTAGGTCCTTTCGTTGGCCGGAGCCAGCATTGCAAGAGGGGCCAGGCACCTGTACCCGAGAGTGATACTGCATGGTTCAGTGACAGAGGGGACATTTGGCCATGGAGTTTCATAAGGAACTCGCTGAAACATGGTTGGCCCCAACGCAGATGAGGTCACCCACAAGGTCTCCAACATTCACACCCACGTGTCAAGAGTACCAACTTGATGTTTACGATGGGCTCACATGATGCATATTTCCGTAGCGGAGAAAGATCGATTTGATGGGAAGCAATTACTTTTTGTGCAAATAACTTTAGGTAAGAGAGTTTGAGCAACGGACGTTGCCAAAGGAAGCGTTGAGGGATCGCTGGCTGATGCAATCAGGCGGACAGGCTTTTTGACGAGGTACAGCCCCTCATCTCGTGAGTTCTAGTCTGATTCATTCGGGTGTGTCGTTTATTCCGGGCATCCTTGTGCCTTTTTTTGCGACACGTTCAAGTGTACTGAGGGGAATCCGGGGTTTCGAAGAGGTTCAACATCCAAGTTCTTGGAATAGGTGCCGAGACGAAAGCTGCGGGTCCGATCCGGTTCCCTTGTTCTGTCCTAGAGTTCTGTTGAGTCGTGTGCCCCTTGACCCTGCCCTGGTGTCGCCACACGCACGAATTGATGAATGAGGCGGTGGGAGCAAGCAGTGCGTTTTGGCTCTGCTTGCTGCCTTCTGCCAGACCCCTAGCACGCCAGTTTTTCCTGAAAGGCGGTTTGATCCTTTATCCTTGGGGCCTTGCAGCAGAATGAATCTACGTGGATTGGGAGCAGAATGTTAGAGTTAAGATGGGTTCGAAGAAGTGTGAAAAGAGAGGTGGAGGGGCGGGGGGGGGGGGGGGGTTGGAGTTTTCCGCCTCATGAAAGAACACATGCGTGCCGATCCCGTGCCGATCGTGAGGTGGAATTTCAGATTCATATTGATAAGAGAGAACGGAAGGGAAGAGATTACTCAAGCACCACTCTAGTTTTGCTTATGGCCATTTGGATCGAAGGTTTGATCCGAGGCGTAGAGACCTCAATCTGTGGCCCCGAAGGCCGAAGAGTCCGCCAAGCGCCAGGCGCCAGGCGCCAGGCCGGGCGCAGCGGGGCAACAACCCGGTGGCGCCAGCCGGCGCGGCAGGCGCGGCGGGTTGAAGGGCTTTTGCCTGCTTCAAGGGGCGGCTCTGGAAGGAAACAGCTGGTGTTCAGGGGCTTGTTTGATATCAGGTTACATGGTGATTGAGTGAGGCAGGCGGTGTTCTTTGACGGACACGTCTTGGCACTTGCAAGCACCGAGTTGACCAGGTCGTACTGCAATCGCAGTACCTGCTGTCACATGTTATCTGCTCGCGCAGGCTTTTTAACCTGCCCAAGCAACTGCCAGAGGGCACAGAAAATGCTGCAATAGCGCCACCTCTGCAAAACAGCCAGCACTCCCGGCAGTCAAGAGCAACATCTCCAGGCAGACGAGGCAGATCGCCACAGAAAAAGCCGGCAATCGCACCAAAGACGTTCTGGCCATAGCCATGGCCGGCCTTCCCTGGCCCGACATCTGCACCCCGGCGCTGCTGCACGCTCTGGGCTGGAGGGGCTCGGGCCCATTTCGAAAGCTGTGCCGCTCGAGCCGTGCACAAGCGGCGGCACACGCTGAGGCGGGCAGTTTGCTCTTTCTGCGGTCTCCTCTGATACTTGTTCGTTTTGTTTACATTTTTATGGTTACCAAGTTGTGGTCATGTTGCGTGCAACCGGCTGTTTGGTGGCTGACGCATGTTGCTCGGGCACCTGTCAGGAGACCAGGGACGCGGAGGTGCACGGCATCTTCGGTGCCATGGCTGGCGCGGCCCAGCACGCCGCCGGCTCGGAGCCTGCGGAGCAGCTGCGCCTGGCGGGCGGTTTGCGGCAGAGGGCGCTGCGCGTCCTGGAGATTCTGCGGGCGCCGAGCTGCGCCGACCTCGACGTCCGGGACATGTACCGGCCGGGTGCCGGGCAGCTGTTCGAGCTCATGGCGGAGGAGTTACGGCAAGCCGCGCAGGCGGCAGCGGACGCCGGGCAGCTGTTCGAGCTCATGGCGCGGGAGCTGCAGGCCGTGCCACCCGCGTCGGCTCAGATCCTCAGAGCTCGCAGGGCGCTGCAAGCTGCCCGCAGGGTGGAGGAGTTTCACTATGCCCAGGAGAGCGTGCCCTGTCTGCAGCTGGGAGGTTGCGCCCAGCCACACGCCCTGCCATTTACATTACGAGTGAAGGAAGTGATGCGCCCGAGTCCGCCCAGTCGGATGATTTTGTGGCGCCCACGATGGATTCTGGGACGACGCTGCGTGCCAACATCAGAACATGTCCGGCAGGGCATGAGCTTCAGGAGCGGGAGGATAGGCCTGCAATCTGCGACCTTTGCGAGGAAGAGATTAACGGGGTAACCTTGTGCTGTGTCCAGTGCTATTGGGATATATGCCAAGAGTGCACTGGTCTCGCTGGCCTTCCCCGTGCTCGCGAGGCAGATGAGGACGTGCCCCAAAGGGCTGGCCGGTGGATGTTAAAGAGCAAAGTAGAATGCTGCTGGAGAAGGGCGATTTCTCCGGAGCTGCAGCGCTCTTGGAGGCAGCCCTTGCACAAGTGCGGCCAGGTAAACAGGATTCTGATGATCGAGACGTGCCCGATATCCTGCATGAGCTGGGCATGGTGCTGAAGCAGAAAGGAGACCTGGAGCAAGCCGAGCAGCACCTGAAGGAGGTGCTGAGGATGACGAAGTCCGTCTATGCTGGTGCCGACCACGTGAACGTTGCAGCCACTTTGCACGAGCTGGCATGCTGCTGAAGCAGAAAGGCGACCTGGAGCAAGCCGAGCAGCACCTGAAGGAGGCACTGAGGATGATGACGTCCGTCTATGCTGGTGCCGACCACGTGAACGTTGCAGTCACTTTGCATGATCTGGGCATGTTGCTGCAGGAGAAGGGAGACCTGGAGCAAGCCGAGGAGCATCTGAAGGAGGTGCTGAGGATGACGAAGTCCGTCTATGCTGGTGCCGACCACGTGAACGTTGCAGCCACTTTGCATGAGCTGGGCCTCTTGCTGAAGCAGAAAGGCGACCTGGAGCAAGCCGAGGAGCACCTGAAGGAGGCACTGAGGATGAAGAAATGTGTCTATGATGGTGCCGACCATGAGTCAGTAGGAGCCACCTTGCATAAGCTGGGCGTGTTGCTGAAGCAGAAAGGCGACCTGGAGCAAGCCGAGGAGCACCTGAAGGAGGCACTGAGGATGGAAAGGTCCGTCTATGCTGGTGCCGACCACGTGAACGTTGCAGCCACTTTGCATGAGCTGGGCATGCTGCTGAAGCAGAAAGGCGACCTGGAGCAAGCCGAGGAGTGCTTGAAGGAGGAGTTGAGGATGGAAAGGTCCGTCTATGCTGGTGCCGACCACGTGAACGTTGCAGTCACTTTGCATGAGCTGGGCATGCTGCTGAAGCAGAAAGGCGACCTGGAGCAAGCCGAGGAGCACCTGAATGAGGCACTGAGGATGGACAGGTCCGTCTATGCTGGTGCCGACCACGTGAACGTTGCAGCCACTTTGCATGAGTTCAGCATGCTGCTGAAGCAGAAAGGCGACCTGGAGCAAGCCGAGGAGCACCTGAAGGAGGCACTGAGGATGCAGAAATGCGTCTATGGTGGCCGACCTGAGTCAGTAGCAGTCACTCTGCATGAGCTGGGCATGCTGCTGAAGCAGAAAGGCGACCTGGAGCAAGCCGAGGAGCACTTGAAGGAGGCACTGAGGATGAAGAAGTCTGTCTACGGTGGCACCGACCAGGAGTCAGTAGCAGTCACTTTGTATGCGCTTGGCATGTTGCTGCAGGAGAAGGGGGACGTGCAGCAGGCCGAGCACCTGAAGGCGCAATTGATGAGAAGTTGAAGCAGATATGGAGCGAAGAGGATGCATCTCAACCGACCAAGTGTTTTCCAAACTTAAAAGCCTGTGCATAGAATGCAGCGAGCGGCGCGGAATGAGTTCGCCCTACAGCGCTGAGTCAGTGCTGAGGCGAGGTGTTTCTTGGAGACGCAGTGTCCAAGTAGAGCTGTTGCCCAAGGGTCTACTCCTGTACGACAATGTGTGACCCTCGTTGCACGGCCCAGCTTGGACCTCAGGAGGTTTCGGGAGCTCAAGGATATGTGCGAGTCGCGCAAAAACGCCTACTTCGTTTTTTGGATGCTTTGAAGGGAAAAACACAGGTCTTCAAAGGGCCTTGCACTTTTTTGGTGGGTCCTTGAGACCACCGCAGCTCTTTGTGTTTCAAGGCAAACCGTTTCTATCTTTTTTCCTTCCAACTTTTGAAGGCTTCCAAGGCCTCGATTTCAAACGCCCCCTGTTCACGCGCGAAACAGGCAACTCGTCCCCTTGTTTCTAGGTTTTCAACCAGAGCCTCAAAGAAACAAAGCGCTCAACGGACCGCTTTGCAGGTGGCCGGGTGGCCGCGTCGCCCGAGCGCGCTTCGAGCTCGGCTTTCACGGGAAGTCAGGGTCGAGTGTCAGTGTTGACCCACGAATTGAATTAATTTGGCAGATGTTGTTTTGCAGTTTGGCCAAAGCTGATTTGGCCTGCGACGTGAGAATCAAACATGGATTTGTTATTCCTGCGCACATTTTGTGAGTTGCCCGATGAAGGAAACTCATACCAGGTGAATCCAAAAAGCCCGGGCTTGGTCGGCCATTCAGTTGGCAACTAAATGTTTTGGGCCGGAATAAGCATAGTTTCAAGAGGGCAAGGCACATGTACCCGACAAGAGAGAGAGAGAGAGAGAGAGAGAGAGCGAGAGAGAGAGAGATACTGCGTTGCCCTGATAGAGGGGACATTTGGCCATGGAGTTTCATGAGGAATTCGCTCAAACATAGTTGGCCCTAACGTAGATGATGTCGCCCACAAGGTCTCTAACGGACGTTCACACCCATGTGTCAAGTGTACCAAGTTGATGCTTATGATGGGCTCAAAATGATGTATTTTTCCGTAGCGGAGAAAGATCGATTTAATGGGAAGCAAACAGGTAGTTGTTGCTGTTTTGGGCTGAAACATTCAGGATATAAGCGCAATGCTAGGTAACTTATGTCTTGTTGAATGGATGAGTCTGTTGATGCTGGTTGATGTTTGGTGACTTGGCAAAAAAGGTGCCCTTTGCAAAGGACACCCTTTCAATTGAAAACCGAATGAACACCACAGAGGTTTTGAGGTCCACTACTTTTGAACACACTGAAATTGAGCACCAATTCGAAGCCACCAATTTCGGGTTGATGGGTTAAACACCCCGCAGTCATTCAGAATGGAGACCCCCTGCAAGAAAGACATCCCCGCTAAAAGGGACCTTTGACAATCAGTGTGGGCTTAATTTATGTGGGGTCGATATTATTTGATGTGTCGAGGTGTCGCTGCCTTTTTTGCATGTCTTCGCCGAGTCGCACCTGTTGACAAGTGCCCGTGTTCTCGCTCATGAGTTCCTTAACTTTTGTTGTGGCAAAAACCATGTTAGTGGCAATCACGCCAATCACAAAGTTTGGACTTTTTGGCCAGTCCACTCAAGAGGTGCTACAACCTGACATCAACTCCTGGCTTGTCCGTTCACCTGTTCCGGGGGCCAGCTTTGGTAGTGAGCATTGGGGACATGCATTCCAGCAGTTTGAGAGCCATGGCAGAAGGCTTCAGTGATTGGTGCTTCTCCATCCTTGATGTGGGTGGGTCTCAGGATTGGGTGTGGGCTCCAAAAATGGCTCCGGCTTTTGTTTCCACCTGAGCGGCGGTTTTTTTGGCCGCAAGCTAATTTAGTAGAGAGAGGGACATTATTATTGAAAATGCCCACCGCGCCACACGCGAACACTACCTTACTTAAAATTACTTTCCTTTCTGCGCCAATACTCGCGGAAGCAAATGTTGCAAACCATGCGCCGCGGAAGGTTTGCGGAAGCAAACAATGAAACACATGTGCCGCGGAAGTTCGCGGAAGGGACCTCTGGGCCCGCGGCAAGGATGCGGAAGGGTCGGCGGAAGTTTGTAGGGAATACAAATCAACGCTCACCTGAAGGACAATTCAAAGAGACATCAACTTGAACGCCTCTGGCTCAGGCCGACAATACAGGCCTGCTTTCGACTACCCTTCGGAGTTGTCCCTT